AGCCGAGCACGGCCAGGGAGGTGCGGAATGCACCAGGACACACATCCGTGCAGATCCGTGCATGGAAAGGCACAGAGAGGGGTGTGCGTGTGCCTTTACATGCGTGTGTGCACATACACACATGAGCACACAGGTTGTGGCCTTGCTGGCACCCGAGCGGGGGTCCCCGGGCTGATGGCAGCCTCTGAAAAGCCCCTCTAGGGCAGTCCATCACCCACAGCATCCCCTCCCCCCGCACATCTGGGCACGCATCCAGCTGTGCGCACACATCTGCTCCCCATCCCACCCGCAGCCATCCCCAGCTATGCACCCCCACATCCCACGGGAGAGGGGAAAAACAAGGAAAGATGGGGGGGTGGGATTCTTTATCTCTCGGGGGGCTCTGGAAGGGTCCCCCGAGGCCAGGCTGGCGGCAGCTCCGGGTGCCACCCGCCAAGGGCACGTTCCCATCCGAACGGAATGAAGCACGACGCTCGTATAATTTGCAGCAATTGCGATGGGAAACCGCAGGAATTCGCTCTCCAGAAGGTTTGCAGGGAGGTGAACGGGCGGCCTAATTCCCTCCAGGTGTGCTTCAGCATCGGTAGCTCCGGCTGCGATTTCCTGGCTCCTGTGCCAGAGCGGTGGCTGTGTCCGTGTTTGTCCTCGGGGTGGGACGAGGGATCCCCTCAGGAATGTCCCCATGGCCACGAAAGGGCTCTGGTGGGGCTGCTCCGTGTCCGGGTGGGAGCCAGGGGCTTGGGAAACATGCAGAGCCAGGCAGGAGTGGCAGTGACACACAGTGGGGACACCAGGGGAGCTGCCCCTGCTCTGCCACCCTCCTGTGCCACAGCCCTGGGGCTCATCCGTGCCCATCCCAGGGAATGGGGTTTGCTGCAGCTCCTCCAGGCACCATCAGCTGCTCTGCAGCCCCAGACAGCCCAAATTCTGCCTCCAGCAGGAGCTGGGACCGTCCCAGCAGTGCCAGGTTCCCATCACACACCTGCCGAGAGCAAGGAGAATCCTCTGGAAAGCTCCAACCACCAGGGACCCCGACCCTGCCCTGCCGGCAGGGGACACCGGGAGCCGGGAAAGGCCCTGAGGGGTTTGGGAGCCAGTGGCAGCGCTCCCACCGGGAATCCCAGGTGGCCCAGGGCCCTTCCCAGCCCTGCCCCATGGCCCAGATTCCTCCCACGGAGAACAGCCAGCCCCGGGGGATGGCACAGCCAAGTGACTGTAATTAGAAATGGGGGCTCAGGGCTGGCAGATCCCGCAGGGACCCTGCCCTGCTTTGTGGAGGCACAAATCCCTTGGGATGCCCAGGGGCTACTCCAAGGGATGTGCCCACGTGTGCTGGCACACACAGAGCTGAGCTGAGCCCATTCCCAGCTCCCACGGGTGATGCTGTCCCAGGAAAGCACCTGGGTCCATCTCTGCTCCCACTCTTGCTCAGGGATTCGCCTCAGTGACATCTCTGTTCAGGGGCCTCCCATGAACCTCCCATGGCACGGG